AGGTTGCTCTGCGTTAACTCTCCATATTTTGGGGACTCAGGGTAAAATGTCTTCCTTGTTGTCATGTGTGTTTATTTCAGGTTCCAGGGTTATGGAGATTAAATATTACCTAACATTCTGGTCTCCTGATGGAGAATGCGGGTATGCAGAGCTGGTGAGGTGAAGGCTTTGAGGCTGGAGCAGAGTGGGGGCTGGTTGATTGAGTCCAGCTCCTCGCATGTTGATTCGCCCACATGGACATTACAAATAATCAATTTACTCTCTCTCTGGGTGTCGTCCTTTAAGGTAATATGGGATAAATCTAATTACCTATCAGTGGGTTCCTAGAGTTTTATAATGGTTAAGTCTTAACAGTAAAAGGGAGTATTCCACAAACTGTTGTTTTTATCCAAATTCCATTTTTTATTTTTTATCTACTAATCTATAATTCCTTATGGGGTATATTCACACATAGGTTTGATTACTAACAACACTGATTTGAAATTTGGTGTTTCTTCTTCTTAGTATTACTAGTACTTATGTTATTACTTCTTTTAAAGATATATTCAAAGATATACATTTCTGCATTATTTCATTGCAGCTGATTTCTTTTCGTCATTTCTATTATGATCCATTTTATTTTGATTTTTACCAGTTAGGGGCTACAGATAATTTTGCCCTTCTGTTTTGATAACATTTTTGCTCAAAAGAGTTGATTTTCCCTTACATTTATTATAGGGTTATGTTGATTTTGTTCTTTTTGCAACACTTTTCCAGTACAAGTAATTTCCTGCATTTCATTTCTTTCACCTGAACTCCATTCACACAATTTGCTTCACATAGCACATATAGGCACATACAGTGCTAAGTTTCTTTTATTTTGTTATTTTGCATCAGACGCAATCTACGTGTGTCTACAATGAAGTGCCCTGTGTCTGCTCTTCTCCTCTCCTGGGTTTCGCCTGTGGTCGTCGCTGCCTGGGAGGACCTCTCTGCACCGTTGCCTGATTCGGCTGCTTGCCGCCTGAGGGTCTGGTTCTCTTGGGTCTGGACGTCTTGTGGTTCCTGCCGTGGTTGCTGGAGTTCTACGGTTTGCCTGGGACCTCGTCCAGTCCCTGCTCATCTGCTTCCTTCCTGAGGATTATGATAAGTAGAGTTACCCTTTTTAAGTTTAGGAGCTACATTAACTATTCATTCTCTGGTGTGCGGGTTTGCTTTACTCACTCCTGTTGCCTGGAAACTAACCTGTGCTTCCTCAACTGAGTCCTTAGGCCTCTGGGACTGTGCAACTGCCCGTGGTTTCGCCAGGACCCCGTGCCCTTGCAAAAGGGGGATATGTAACCTCCAGCAATGGTCAGTTTAGGTACTGTTTGACCATTCAACATCTGGTCAAAAAGGCAACACGAGACTGCTAGTGTTCCCTTTAAATCAGCCTGCCTTCCTCACACCAGCTGGAGCTCAGAGCCTGCAGCTCTGACAAAGATAACAAAATCATAACAATAACATTCTCTCCTCAAGGTCCCTCACAGAGCACCCCTTTTATCTAAGTCTCCTGGCTCACAGAAGAACAGAAGAAAGAAGATTTTTAAAATTAAATATGAACTTCTAAAATGTACAAGCTAGATAGTCATTAAATAAACGTTTGTTTATTGCTACTTATAATAATTATAAAATAATTAAATGTTCATTAATCTGTGCTCAATGATATATGTTTCAGCATCTTTACTTGACATTTGCACTCACACAAGAACAAAGTAAGGTAAAGTTAAATCCATGACACACTGCAGCGCATTGTGCGCTCTGCTAAGAAGGTGATTGGCTGCAGCCTTCCATCTCTCCAGGACCTGTACGTCTCCAGAACTCGGGGGCGTGCAGGTCGGATAGCAGCTGACCCTTCGCACCCGGGTTACAGACTTTTTGAGCCGCTTCCCTCAGGCAGGAGGTTACGGTCCATCTGGACCAGAACCTCCCGCCATAAGAACAGCTTCTTTCCATCTGCCGTTAGACTTGTGAACAGCTTATAAACACACAACCATGCTCGTCTTCTGTACTCGACTCAACGTCACGTTATCGGCCATGTTACCATTACCTGCCATTCTTTATAGCTGAAAGTTTTATTCTAGTTTTTTTTAATTATATTTTATTCTATTTTTAATCTTATTATTCATGTTATATGTAGCACATTAGTACCAAAGCAAGTTCCTAGTTTGTGAATTGTTTGTTCACTGACAATGGCAATAAACCTATTCTGATTCAGATTCTGATTCATAATTAGCCTTTGCCCCAGATCAGAGCCTCCGGATCAAAGAAGACGTGTTTCTGAGATTCTTGGTAATATCCTCAAACTTGTCAACCTCTGGTTGGCTACACAATCATTACATGAGAACATAAAAACTAGATCACTCTGGTGATTCTTCAGTTCTAGAGAAGCTTCAGGCCGGCCACCTGAAGCAAAAACCTCTTTAACCCACCAAAGCTTTTGACACGTTGTCAAAACCTATTTGCACCTGCAAAGCTGATACAACAAAACAGATCCTGCAGAACAAGCTGATTTTTTCAACTCCTTAAGAGTTATTCCTGAGACGCAAACTAGTTCCAACTGTTGTTGCCTGGAGACTCTGGACTGACCTGGTCGTTCTGCAAGTTAATCTACGGACTTCGGTACGTGGGGTCTCCGACTCCTCCCCCCCAACATCTCGGATCCGAAAAAGGCGTCTCCTAGATACGAAAGTTCTGATTAAAATCTCATTCACACGTAGGTTTCATGCATCACAACTAGTTCCGTCCATCACAGTAAATGCTTAGTTAAATTGTCATGTTTTAATTGTTTGAAAATAAATTCTTACTTTTATACACCTGACTGTTTTCTGAATCAAAAAGAAGTGTGTACAATCCCCTTATAAATAAAAACTCCTAGAATCTTCTGATTTAAGCACAATAAAGACCAGGCAGGGTGATATTCTGTATTTAGATAGAGTATCACAGCTTATTGGTCATAAGTAGAGGTAATATATATTGAGCTCTTAAAGTACTCAATTTACCAAACCCTACACATTTAAACTTGAACTTTGCCCCCAAAGTAGCTGTAGGTGTCTGATCTGCCATCACTTTGAAAATACTTCAGTGTATTCTGGGAACATTTTGACCAAGGCTAGGCTACAAGACACCTCCCATGTATCCGTGCTCAGCTAGCTAAATTGCTAACAAACGGAGAATGCACTCCTTGGTAGAACATCACAAGTGAAGAACCTGGGTGTCATCTTTGACTCTGAGCTGACTTTTATCCATCATATTAAAAATATCACCAAAATAAGTTTTTGAACATCGCCAGAGTCCGCCCCATTCTCTCTCGGGCCAATACAGAGATGCTGATGCATGCTTTCATCGCCAGTAGGATAGACTACTACAATGCCCTGCTTTCTGGTCTTCCTAAAAAGAGAATTTCAGGTCTACAACTCTTACAAAACTCAGCAGCTCGTGTCCTGACGAAGACCAGGAGGCGGGAGCACATCACTCCAGTTTTGGAATCACTGCATTGGCTCCCCATATGTTTCAGGATCGATTTTAAAATACTTTTAACGGTTTTTAAGTGTCTTAATGGTCTTGGGCCTTTATCTTTCAGAACTGCTTTTACCGTATAAACCCATGCGGTCTCTGCGCTCCTCTGGCAGCCATCTCCTTGCCATCCTTAAAGTCAGGACTCATATTCATAGTGAGGCGTCCTTCCAGTACTATAGTCCTCGCCTCTGGAACGAGCTGTCAGGGGACCTCAGGGCCGCAGAGAACGTTCATGTTTTTAGAAATAGGCTCAAGACCCATCATTTTAGCTTAGCTTTTAACTTATTACTATCACTTTTTAAATTAATTAATTAATTAATTAATTAATTGGGTTATTTGTTTATCTATTTATTTATTTAATGTATTTTTAAACAGAGTTTATATATATATATATATATATATATATATATATATATATATATATATTTCTTTTAAACCATAGATTTATGATCAACATTATTTTAATATCTATATAACTTTTGACATTACAATTTTCGTTTTAGCTCTTACTGTTTTATATTTTAACCTTAATTTAACCTTTTTCCAGTGTTTCCTCTGTGGGAGCCCTCTGCCCCGGGGGGCGGTGGTCGGCTGTGGTGGCCTGGGTGCTTTCCAGGTGTGCCTAGGTGGAGGTGGGGGTCTCCGCCCTCTCTGCTCTGGGCACCCTGTGTCAGTGCCTCGGCTGCTGCTGTGGATCTACTGCTGTCGGGTTTGATGACTACCCTGATGGCGTTTCCTTATCTTAGCTGGTTTGGCTCATCTAAACTCAGTTCATGGTGTTTTCTTTCCATTTGGGGGCATGTGTGTGTGTGTGTGTGTGTGTGTGTGTGTGTGTGTGTGTGTGTGTGTGTGTGTGTGTGTGTGTGTGTGTGTGTGTGTGTGTTGTGAAGGGGTTTTTATTCTCAGACTGTTTTTAAATTCTGGGGATGGGAAGGAATGTCGGTATGTGGGGCCATTTTAATTTGTTAAGCACTTTGAGTTACATGCTTTGTATATAAATTGCTATATAAATAAAGATTGATTTGATTTGATTTGATCTGATGAACATTGGAACACTCCTTGGTGGTTCCTGATGATGTATCTCCTAGGAAACCGGGGTGGGACCAATACATCAAGGCAAGATTCCTTGACACTGAGAAACACCCAGTATCTGCGCAGAACTGGCTCATCTCGAACACAGCCATTGACTTCTATAGTCATGAATGATTGGTCAGTTTGGATGATTGACACGTTTTTTTATTGTCAGGGCCAATAGAGTGAAGCTTCGTTCATCAAGCTCTACTTGAAATATTAAGACCTCAAGAACAATGCAAAACATGATTTTAGTCTATTTTTCAAGTGGTCTTAAAATTTTTGATCAGAACTGTATTCTCCCTGAACTAGATATAAGCAATTATAGTTGCTAATTTTATGGTAGTATATGACCTCTTAATGTCTGACAACTCAGAACCGACACAAGAGGCCACACTCAATAGTAAATTTTATTGAAATTAAACACTCAACCAACACATTTTAATGAACAGATTTTTCAGATAAACAATATAAGGAAGTGCAAAATATTTTAGTTTTTTTTCTTTTGAGACCAACTGAACAGATATAGTTGGCTGATGCACAAACATGGGTGTTACATTCAAGTCATGACAGAAGTCAGGAAGTCAATGCAAACGCCAACATGTCCACATGCTAAAAAGGTTAGCTGAGAAGAAAAGCTTCAAAGGTAAAAGTACTCACTAATCCATAAACCCCCCATACCTTTTCTGAAGCCCACTCCCATTCTCACAAGATCTTTTTAGCTCCCCTCCACTCTTGCTGCCGTTCACAAGCCATTCAGGCCGGCCCACACGCCTCATAAACCCTCCGTATCGCTTCTTCAGCCCACGACTTAACACTCCCTCTAACAGATTGCCTGGTGCCATTTCTTCTTCAGAGTGATGGATGGGATCTTCAGACCTTTTCACAATCTCCTCTCCATTAGTCTCTTCAATGTTACCATCATGTTTTGCAGCAGTAAGGAGTTTTAGGATATTGAAGCGAATGTTTTCTTCCTCATCCAGGTTTTTCATGTCTTTTATTACCTTCTGTGGGGAGGAGCGACGAGAAATGAAACCACCATAACGTTTCATGAAGCCACCGTACTTTTTGACAAGCTGATGTTCTGGACTTGTTGCATCATCATCAGAAGGCATCAAGGCACCCACTGCTTCCTGTTCTAGCTGTTGGTGAGGGTCAGCATCAAGAGAAAGGCTGTTATCCTCCTCAAACAGTAAATTCTGGCACATGTGCGGTCTGTGGCTATCCAGCGCTCTTCTGCACTTAAGTGAGCATTTCTGGGAATAAAAACAAACAGAACATTAGAACAGAAGCATTAGAATGTCTCATTGAGAATTATGCTGTGAACTCTTCCTAAAAATGACCACAAAATGTTTCTGTGTGTAGAGTTTGGACAGGTTAGGGTTGGCCGCCTCAGTTCTCTCCTCACCTGGTCTGATGTAAGTGAGAGGGGAGAGCGAGGGAGGGTATGGTGCCATGGGGGGTTGATAGTGGGGGGAGATGGTGTGGAGTGGTGTAAGTTCAGGGGATGGGGGAGACTGGCTGGGTGGAGGTGGTTGCGGGGTGGTGGTGGTGTGTGTTGCTGTAGGCGGACATGAACAGGAAGATTGCCATCACAAAATGGAGACTGTTATCACCTACCATTGTGCCGTCAAACGTCTCCTTCTAGGGTTCTACAACCCCAAGGTGCTTAACAACACATATAGCAATTCCCCCATACACACATACACGCACACACACATTTACACACTGGTGGCCATGAGCTACATTGTAGCCACAGCTGCCCTGGAACACACTGACAAAAGTGAGGCTGCCAAACACTGACGCTACCAGTCCCCCCAATCACCACCAGCAGGCAAGGTGGGTGAAGTATCTTGCCCAAGGACACAGCAACTGCAACAGCCTGAGCAGGGCTTGAAGCTACAACCTTCTGATTACAAGGCAGGCACCTCTGCCACCTCAGATTGAGGCTCCCAATCCGGTTAACATAATTATTGTCATAGCTCAATTTAGATGTGCCCACTGAGTGACTTTCAGCGTTAAATCTGTTGTGTCCCTGTCTTTACAACAATCCTCATACTAACCAAGCATGTAGTGACAGTGGAGAGGAAAAACTCTCCACTCTCAGAGCAGACACGCACACACACACACACACACACACACACACACACACACACACACACACAGGGGCGCCGTAAAGCGGTGAAAGATTAGAAAGATTCCAAGGGCCCACAGCTGTCAGGGGCCCAAAAATGTTTCAAAGTTGAATAAAAAAAATAAAGTTTAAAAATCACAAGTACTTTGCAGATTTTTTTCTCATTTAAGACATTAAACAAACAATATTTTAGTCTTTATGAAATGTATATTTATTCAGAGGTCCCTATGACTAATTAATTTGGAACCCCCCCTAATGGTGTGAAATGGTACAGTCCACCTGGCTGAGGGACAGCGTAGCAGGCGAGGCCAGCTCAGACAGCGGAGTGCACCAAGGCTGCAGTAAATATGTCTGCATTAACAAAGTCTGGGTCACAGAAAAGGAAAGAAAGAAAGGAGAAAGAGGACAGGCAGAAGAGAGGGTGTCAGTATGTCACACAGTTTTTCTCAAAGAAATGTGGGTTTAGTTAGTTAGTGGTTAAATTCAACCTGTTTGCTAGCTCTGATATCCACAGTGAGAGGAACTATGTTTCATATAATCATGGTAAATGGGTTGTTGTCCTTGTCCCTACCAGAATCAGCAGCTGATGATATGTCAGCAGGTGTCCCCTCACAACCCAATGAACCTCAAGAAGGTGAGCAATGTAGCATGTTAGCTAGCAGCCTCATTTAAGGGGGTCTGTGGGAATCACTTAAGGCTCTCTTCTCTATCAGTACTATTACAAAGGAATATAAAAAGGCTATTTTTGGTGATAAACACATTGTTTTTCCACATAATGATAATTAAATATATCAATCAGTAAAAATGTATAGATTGTTTTGGATGCTGGGCAGGTTGAAGCATTGTCATTTAGTCTGTTAATGTAACATAAATTACTGTGAGATTATTACTGTGAAGCACTTTTTTGAAGGCACCATACAAGAAAAAAAAAACCTCTTCATCTACTAAACACCTTGAAATGAAATGTTTTGAATCTGACTGACTTATGGGAGGTTTTACAAGATGTAATTTGTTTATGTAGCTTTTAGAACACAAACCAAAAATCAGTCATTTCCAAATAATTCATCAGAGAGCAAAAATGAAACAAAAGCTATTAATAATTGTAATAAATAAACTTAATTTTCTAAAACTCGTCATTATTTATTCTGCTGCTAAAATAATGGTGACTGCTTTGAACAAATCAAAAACAAGATATGTCACTCAGGAGCATTATTAATTATATCACTGTAAATAATAAATCTTGTTGTGTACAATCAAGGCTGAATATATTTTTAGCAGTTTTTTGTTGTTGAGAAAAATGGGTTTCTAGAGACTTATATACATATTCTTGTCCAACATTAAAATTTTATGTAACCCTAACTGACTCCGGTTTGATCTGTGTGCTTATTCATTTTGTGTCTATGATGAAGCCATGGAGACTTAATAAAGAAGTCACCTTGTCAGCAGTGAATCCTTAATTTTTGTCAGTCATACAGAAATACTTGATTTCAAGAGGAAAGACAGCTGAAAATGTAGTTATGTAAAGCTTTGACACAACATGGAAATTTAATTAGATATCCAAATTTGAATTTTATCATCACATAAAATTTTAGAATAAATAAACACATTTTAAGGGAGTAATAGGGAAAAGGAGATTAACACCTTTCAGCATGTGCATTTCCTGCTTTTTCCAGCAGTGATATTGCTAATTCTGTTGAAGGAAAGTCACTGTTTAATGAGAGACAGCTGGTGAAAATGATATGTAAATAAGTAAGAATGCATGTAGACCTACATAATTAAGCAAAACTGAAACACTAATATAAAGTAAATATATTATATTTTTTTCTCTTTTCGAATCTGGGAGGGTGGAACCCCAGCTCCAGCTATGGACGAGCCCCCAGGGGGCCCAACTTGATATTTTTTCATGGGGCCCAAAATCTCTGGCAGCTCCCCTGCACACACACACACACACACACACACACACACACACACACACACACACACACACACACACACACACACACACACACACACGGACTCAGGTGTTCTCAGACACATCAACTTGTCCTGTTTTTGGAACAAAATACTTCAATTAATATTATCTGTTTGCTCTCCAGTATCAGCTGTACAGGCCTATGTACATACATATGTACTGTTAGTAACTGTGTATTCTTTCTTCTGTTATTTTGTGTGTTTTCTCTCTCTCTCTCTCTCTCTCTCTCTCTCTCTCTCTCTCTCTCTCTCCTCTCTCTCTCTCTCTCTCTCTCTCTCTCTCTCTTCTCTCTCTCTCTCTCTGCCTGTCTAGAAGCTTGTACATCTTGTATTCTTTCTTTTCATTAACTTTCTCCCCGACCTCTCTTCTTCTTTCTGTCCATTTCATTTCCATCTTCATGTTAGTTGGGATGAAATTCTAATTAAGTTTTACATCAGGTGGAGGATTATAACAGAAGCTGTAACACTCAATCTGTGAAAGCTTGATTTTGGCTATTTTGATCGCGTTACTGCGGGATGGGACACAGAAAATAAAACAATATTAGTGTCTGTAAATATTTTTACATTCAGGGTTTCTTGCAGTCTTTAAGTTTTATATTTATAGATTCAGAGAGGAGAAATAAGTTGATTCAGATTTTTTTAAAAGTACAGTGTATTTAATCACCACCAAGTTTGTACTAAGTGTTTCAGTAATTTGCCACTAGAGGTCAGTATCGCTGCACCAATGAGATCAGACGATATCAGAGTTATTTTTTGCTTTCACAGACAACAACTCCATCATCTACATTTCTCCAACCAAGAACACATAAAGAGGTATGCACGGGGGGGGGGGGGGTGGGGGGGGGGGACAGTCAAAAGGAACAGTTCGATGAATGTATGAGCCAATCATTTAGAAAAAGATGTTCACCTTGATTGGACGAGGATTTTCCTGGACTGTACATTTCAGACGCTATCAAAATTATTCCCTTTTGGACAAATCAATACATGAAGAGCATTTCAAGCAATAAAAATCCAGAAAGACTTCACAGACTCCACCTTTCTGTCTTTTCTTCTTTTGGGGAACTCCGTTTTTTCTTTTTTCATTGATGTTCTGGGGGAACTATCCATGTTTGAGCTCGTTGTGCTGGAGCAGTTTACAGAGGGGCTCCCAGCAGGTACCCAGGAGTGGTGCGCTGTCATCGCCCCTTCAGCCTACAGGGCACCATCACCCTGGCTGAACATCACCTAACAAAGGCCCGATCTCAGCAAAGTGCACTTGGAGAACGTACGCTGTAAGGCTTTGAGTGTGTAGTATATAAGTGTGCAAATAACTGCAGGATTGAGACAGGGAGCTGTAACGTGATGAAGGAGCTATTCCTCCAAGGTTATTTACCCTTTTTCCACAGTTGTTTTTGACACGGCGCCAGAGTGCATGAAACAGCCTCAAGGTCATGCATAGTGCTTCTAAACTGTTTACTTTCCAGCAATGAAGACAGAAGATGAATAGACTCTTTTCTTTTATTAAATCAAAGAACTCTATTTTCAATAAAGCTAATCAAAACAACTGTTGGTCAATAATACAATGTGACCGATCTGTGAAATCACAATGTTATGATTAATATGTTTGAATAAGTAATATGACTTAATCTAGTTCATTAGACACATTGACACACGTAAGGAAAACAACTGCATGACACATTGCTGCTGCTGATCCAATCAGAACCATCCTAGTCTGAAGCGTGGCATAGGCCGTGTTCGACTTGAGCTGCGCCTCGCCGGGAAAACAGACGGAAGCAGCAGGGGAGTGGCTGAAAGCCGGCATTTAAGTCGTACAGATTTCCCTACATGTGTAGCTCACGGATGACGGCGGACGAAGATATCGCGGTAGCGTTCATACTTGTTTAATTATTTATTTTAATTCTGGTGCCTGTTAGCAGCTGAAACACATCCTCACGTGCTTGTGGATATCATATATTGTATATGAAGACCTGACTGTAATAATAAGTAAAGGTCATCAGCTGTAGGTTTAGTGTGCTCATAGGAAACATGACAAAAGAACACAAATCGCATTTCTCTTTATGGCTTATATAGTTGTCATCATCAACGTAACATGATTTACAGAACACATGTGACCAACTAACATTTCATGTTCTACCACCGGATGTTTGGATC